TGAGTTGAGAGGAAAGATGTTGGGCGAATTACGACAGAATATACGTGGCGAGCCGGAGAAGATGCACTTTGCCGTGGGAAGAAACTAATGCCGAAATCGAGGGAGAATGTCTGCAAAACGGGGGTGAGCTAGAAAATTCTTTATCATAGAGGGAGTACTAATGTGGTAAGTTATATGTTTGTTGTTATTATTCTGTTCCTTTTTGGGTTTTTGGTTTCTGATTACTTTGACTCGTGGGTGCTAAACGAGCGATACGGACTCTGGACGAGTAACTGAGTTTGTTTTAACTGTAAAGTCGAACAGGACTCCCTAGGGCCTTTGAGATGATTGTATTAATTTATTAGTTGAAAATATCTGTTCGGGTATATATCTTGCAGTGTGTTCTATTTCCCTCTTGGCTTGTTTGGTAATCACTGAATCTTGATGGCTCCCGACTTCGATTAGGTGCTTGGTTTGGATGATTGGTGCTTCTGTAGCTTTGCTGGACAACACATGAAATGGTCGTTGGGACTTTGGACATCATGTATCTGCATTCTTTACTACACTGCACTCTCAATAATCGTACTTCATTTTATAGTTGGAAAATTGCCTCTGTTCAAGCATCCTGAGGCAACGAACTTTGGAGTCGTGTCCTTTTGATTGTGAAACGTTTGACAGCGTTTGAAGATTAGACGTGATTAGGGCGGCGTGGGAAGATGGAGATTCGGGGATGTCCTTATTCATTTTATAGATAGGTCGCGTACTAACACGGTGCAAAAAAGTTGATCGCGATGTCTGGGTGTTGTGGATTCTAATCGACCTCGCGTTCGAGTTTGGAAAGATCGTGTCACGCGTAGACATTTGGGTGGTGCACGGATAACAAACATTACAGAGATTTGTTTCTTCATCGGCATGTCTTAAAGCTTTTCCAATTGACAAGTCGAAAGTTCTCTGTTTTCTTTTCGATCTAGCTCTCTGAGAGTGATTTTGAGGGGAATATTCAATTCGCTTTTTTTATGTTTTGGGCTGCGAGGAAAAGGTGTTCATTGATGAATTGTTTGTAGTATCTTTTCTCAACTACTTGTATCAAACTCGCCAAACAGGATGAGCACTTTACCCCAACTACTTTTGAGTATCAAATTTACCATATAGGGCGAGCATTTTCTCAAAGAGATGTGCGAATATCTGTTTAATCAACGATGTAGACAACGACCGTATACGAAAATTACCGTCACCATTTTGGCATAGAGTACCTGAATTCACGCGGAACATCTTTAATGACGTTCCCGCATTTTAATATGATGCTTTCTCTCTCAAGATTCGAGCTTGAGTTGACTCTTACCCACTTATGTTCCAAAATTAGACATAAGGATAATAAGGTAATATTGTATGCACTTGATTTAGAAGATGGCGTGACGCATTCATATTAGGTATTACATGCGATCCACTTGTTTAAAAGGTGCACTTGCCACATTATTCTACATATCGCTGTGGTCGATGGGGGAGTAGTCTACTATTGCTCTTTCTAAGAATCTATAAGAAGTAAAAAATAGATTAGTTTACCAGGAACTGAGATGTGGTGGGAACGTGCCTTTACTGGCATCTTCCGAGAGTAGCATGGACAAATTCATGACAAAATGGGCGATTACAACGTATAGGCAAGTAGACAAATTAACTCTGGTCCCTCAGACGAAACAAATTATCGAATCGATGGGTTCTGCTTGAGCTTCGCATGCACTATTGTGGAGAATATGGAATTGGATCAAACATACATGGGTAAAAGCTCGAACGAAGTTCAGCCATGTGGCACGCTCTCGTTTGAGCTTTATTAAGTAATTTACTTTAAATGGTCATTTTATCAAATCTTTATTCTCGGGATATCTTTAATCCTAGCAAATCTCTAACTCTTATATATATATTTTAGTAGTTCAATTTTAATTGATTTAAAAGAAATAATAGAAGTATGTCTATTTTTGTAATGAATTGAAAAATAATCGTTTATGTATACCTATCTATATTATATATTTAAAAATAATTGTTTATGACAAGGTTTTCAAAGAGTTTAGGAATGTAGGGATACCCATCTTATATTTGATTCTAATTTAAAATATAAATGCTACTAAAAGATTAGTTTTTTTTACTAAAAGATCAGTTGAAAATTACCATCACCATAAAAAAAAAAAATGTAACATGCTTTACAAGTAAATGACATGATAGATTTAACCATCATAGGAGGTAAAAAAGCATACATTTAGAGGATCTATTATATGATTACGTATGTCTCAACAATAAGTACATGAAATATAATAAGTGATGACTGGTAGTTACTATTGAAAAGTTGTATGGATACTTATTATAACAAAACTTCTGTCATACTTCATAAGTAAATTATAGTAACAAATCAATAAAAATCATATAACATGATAGTCCATATCAGATGATCCATGAAAAAATTATATATGATATGATTGACCATATTTGATGATTAAATGACAGAGGATTATTAAAAATTTACGTCATATTTACAAATAATTGAAAATCAACAAAAATAAACTTTAGCAAATTCAAAACCATCTTTACATGATGTATATAGAAAAAAAATATTTTTAATATATTACACAATATTCCCTATTTCATTAATAAATATGAATAAATGCATATTAATGATGACTCTTATGATTGAACGCATAGTTAGAGATAACTCTAATGAGATAAGTTTTAATTGTACTTTTTTATTTGTACAAGTATCGATAGAAAACTTGTCCATATCACAGGAAACTGATAGCACACATATTACAAATAAATGAATTTTATAAAAGCATAACAATAAAAAAAATTATCAATGATTTTGAAAAGGTTCTAAAAAAAAATATTTGCCAAGATATCGCTTCTCCCAAGAAAGATGAGATAAATAACTAAGATTTCATGTTGTTAATTTTCACCGCAGGTGTTGCGTCGCTTCGCCAAGAAATATTAGATAAATGGGTACGCATTTGTACTCATTGAAGAAAAAATAAGGCAATTTCAATGAACTTTGCAAAATGATCAATGCTATATTGTTCAAATTTTAGTGCATACAATAATTAACTTAGATTATCAATAAATGGAGAATAGATGCATAAAGTTGGGAATAAATAATTGTGGTTCTGCCATGTGGGATGGGACGCGTCCAAATGAACAATGACATGGCAACATCTGCCAATAATGATGCACCATGTGTATTATTTAGCCATATTGAAGGCTGATGCAGAAGATATATAAATTAGTTAAAATAAAATTGTCACTCTGTTCATATGGGAAGATTTTAGCATGTGCTATTAATTTTAAAAAATGATTTATAGTAAAATTGATTCCACATTGACTGTTGAAGATATTAGCTTGTGCCAATTAATTCATTTTTTTGACTGATTACAAACTCTAATAGTTAGTTATCACATTGATATTTCCTTTTAAAATTCAATTTTTCTTCAAAAGGTTAATAATTTGGTAAGTTTGTTGTTATTCCTTTTCTAGCTACGCTTTCACGATTTCCTTTAAATTGAAAGAGGGCAAAACATCAATATTTTTCAATGGAGGGGAGGGCCATATATTCCTTAATTTAGTGAATTTCTTTTTTTTTTTCAAATTCGCAAAATTTAATAAGGTTAGTTTCTCCTCTGCTTATAGCCTCATGTTTCATGATTACATGCATATTAAAATTTTTTTCTCGTCAGAATGACATCAAAAATTTCTTGGCCATTCAATTATTTTGTTGTAAAATTGTAAGAAGTCAGTATTAAAGGACAAAACCGGCAAAAACTTATAATTATCAGACGAGGAACCTTATTATTGTAATAATTATTTTCAATTAAATATCCTGTTTGGCGTCAAATTAATGACCCTGTAACTGAAATTGAACTGATTGTGCTTTTTTGTTTTTCCCTTAATTATTTCTATATAGCCCCTCTTGCGAGAAACTGCAATGCAAATTTCATCAACAATTGTTGCCTCCAAAATCAGATGTCAATTAATCAGCATGTCACCAAGAACCATTTCACAATTGTCGTGGAGAAAATTGTTCAAAAAGTCTTAAACATATTGCATTTTTGCCAATACAGTCCTAAACCTTTCAATTTTGCTAATTGAGTCATAAGCCTTTTTACTTTTTTCCAATTGAGTTCGTTTAGCCAGAATTGACCGGAAATTGCTAACGTGGCACGGCTGGCGTTGACGTGGACATTTTTAAATAATCTTTTAATAATCTTTTGGATTTTTATGATTTTTTTTTCTTTTTTTCCTTTTCTTTGTTTATTTTGGGTTTAGAGTTAGGGCTGACGATCGCCGGCCACAGGCGAGGGCTGGCGGACCTCGCCAATCGGCCACACCCCCCAACTTAATAAAGTTTCTTGCATTTACTTTTGTTTTTGTCTTTCATTTTCGGCGATTAAACTAATTTTAGCTTTCATTTATTAATTCGACTGTTAGTTATGTGTTCATATTTTAATTAGCAATTGTTATTCTTTTTCGCCAACATAATATTTCTCACTCATCACTCCATTCATAAAATAAAAGCCAAAATAAGTTATTCTCACTAATTTGTTCTCTTTAATTCTATTAATTTTGATTCGAGTTTTTACTTTTCTACAGGGTACTTTTGTTTTTCATTCTATTCATTAATAGTTCTAATTTCACTATCAGTAATGCCATGTTTTGGAGATTGGGAAAAACGGAGATGATGAAAATTTGAGTGGAAAAGCTTGAATATTTTAAATTTTTTGCGAGACAAAAAAGAGGAGGGAAAATTTAAAATTATACGTATTTTTGTCCAATTTCGTTCACCTAAGGGCTCCCGAATAGAGCCTTAGCGTGTGATCAAATTTAAAAAGAAAACGAGGGAGAATCCAAATTTTGGACGGAGAGGTCGCCGGATCAAATAACAACGAACCTCGTGATAAAGTTATTATCAAGTAAATTCCCTGATTCTCCTTTCTTGGATAATAACTTTTTGTTCTTATTCAAGTCAAGATATTGTAAAGAGACTATGAAAAAGAAGAAAAGATAAACGGGCAGAGAGATTATAATAATGTCGAAGGCCATATGTCAGCCTCCTATAAGTCTACTTCAACGCACAGCTTAACTAGCAAACATGCATCCGCACATAAGTAAGTCCAAAGCGAACGGCAAACATAACACAAATTCAAAAATGCACAATCAAACCCTAGAAGTCCTTACGGACAACTGATAGACATGTCACTATGGTGATAAAAGGATCAGATTCAGGCACACGCTTAATCCACTCCCAGACAGGAAAGACAGTTTGACATCCACCGTTCGCACGCCTCGCCACAAGCCGAAGTCTCGAAGGGGGGAGGTTTTTGTGCATCCCCTCCGTATCCGGTCTCTTCAATGTAGTCTTCGACTTCTTCAAATGCCGAGCCAAGGTGGATAGCAGCCAGTCGCCGAGCCACTTCCCTCATTGCCGGCCTGTTCGCGCGGCTTTGGTCCAAGCACTCCACTGCAATCTCAGCAACCATTTCTACCCTCTTCATCTCATCGTCACTAGCGCCCTCGAAGTCTACGAGATCGACGAGTGCGTTGCCCTTCACGGAAGAGATGAAACGGTGGATCATACTGATCGAATCCCCGGACTCAGTAAAAAGTTCCTTTCGCGTGAGCAACTCTGCAAGGATAACGCCAAAGCTGTATACATCACTCTTAGTTGTTAGTGTACCAGTGATTAAATATGCTGGATCGATGTAGCCCAACGAGTCTTGCTTTTGAGTGGCTACGATATGTCTATGCTTTGGTGAGAAGAGTACCGAAGTTCCAACATCAGATACTTTTGCCGAGTAGCTTTGATCTAAAAAGTTTTGATCCAGAAATATGTTTGCTGACTTGATGTTGCCATGAACGATAGGGGGTTTTATGCTGGAGTGCATATAATTGAGTGCAAGAGCAGCTTCGGCGGCTATTCTGAAACGGTCTCCCCATGATTTTAAGATGGTCGACTCATCCTGATGGATGTGTTCGAAGAGGGTGGTGCCATTCGGAATGTATTCATAAACCAGCAATGGTATTTTGGTCTCTAAGCAAATGCCTTTGAGCTTCACCACATTTTTGTGGCTTCTTTTCATCAGAAATTCAAGTTCACGCTGGTAATCCCCCTTTATTTGAGACTTGTGCGCATCTTTAGGCTTCCTGACCACGACTATGTCGTCCCCCACTATGTTCCCTTTATGGACGGAACCGAAATCGTCATCTCTGAGCTTGTTGCTATCATCATAGTTGTTGGTTGCTTCAGCTAGCTTGGCCTCCGGAAATATTTGAACTCCTTGTTGTTCCAAGATCTCTCCTCCATTTCGTCTGAAGTTGATCCGTCTGAGTTTCCACCTCATCGTGAGCGACATTGAAGCAGTAACAGTTACGCCGAAGACGGACACAGCCATCACTGCCAAAGAATATATGTTACCAGATTAATGAATCAAGTACGTAATCCTTATACGATCCACATACTTCATTAAAAGAAATCAATTTCAAATAGACAAACCCATTTAACTTCTTTTTACATAATCCCCATATCTATCACTATCGATTTGGAGGGTTAGTAATATAACAAGTAATCAATAGGATCAATTCTTACCAAAGTCTTCTATCACTCCTCCAAATGTCTTTCTTGGTTATAATGAAGACGGTTTGTAATAAAACAAAAGAGAATAAGAAAGCATTCACCTCACATTGTTTTAGCTCTTTCCATTTACAAATGGTATGAAAACTCAGTGGAACTAATTATGCACGTTATAATAATAATTATTAAATGTTTTTTTGTTCATCTTATTGGAGGAAACTCTAACCGATGAGGTTACGAAGATATATTAATATGTACACACACCCAAAATTCGCACATGGATAATGTGTATCATTTATAACCCACCAATCAAAAACATGATTGAGAGTGATTTTTCTTAACCAGAGATGAAAAGCATTTATTTTTTACAAATTTATTATTTTTCTAAGACTAGTTTTAATTAGGGATGGGCACGGGGCTAGAGGGAGCGGCATTGCCATAGCATTAATTTTTTCCTCAAAAAGAACTAATCCACTAATTAGATGACCATTTGGCATTTTTTTTTTATATTTTTATCATTTTTATTAGAAAGAAGGGCCTCATGGGTGGGTCCTAATAAAAAAAAGGAGTGGCATCATGGGTTGCTTTTGAGGAGTCCAAATAAGTCCCAACCTTTACGCGTTAGTTAACGTGATGAAGTGCCTGGAAAACACTTGTACCGCATTGCTTGCCACTTTCCGACCTTTGCATCTTCTATAAAAAAAGCAAGACTGATAAGGCGAAGAGATTGTTCTTGGGGTTTCATTATGATTATTTCATTTTTTGTAACAATTATTACAAATAAAATGAAAATAAATATTTGTATTTTTTCTTCAAATAGTACACGGGATGGATTCGCCAAGTGGGGCAGCGCTAATACTAGCCCCGCCCTGCCCGCCTCACCCCGCCTATTGTCTCGCCTCGTGCCTTACGGGCCATTTTTTGTGAGGAATTTTCCCCATTCGAGGTGGTGTCCTACGGGGCACAGATTCCCCGCGCCCCACGCCCATCCTTAATTATAACCCGCATGCTTTTTACATGTAGATCCAATCCTTTTTTGCAGGTATTATCATCCAAAATTTTGACATTTAAATATATATTTCCTAATGTAAATTTCTAATTTCATTAGCTTTAGATATGTAAAATCAGAAGATATATTTTATAACCTGAGAAAAACTAAGGCCCTGTTTGGTTCAGCATTCAAATACTGCTTTGGGGCTCTAAAGGCCTTTGGGCAAATGCAAACTTGTTTGGCAATTTTTTTTGCAAGCTTTGAGGAGATGCAATTGCATCTCCAAAGCTCCCTAAGGGCCTTTGGCTGAATGCACCTCATGAGGTCCCTTGGGGAAATTGCATTTTCGGAATGCAATTGGCACTATTCATCCGTCACTGTTCATCGTGCCCAAGGAACCACACCGGAGGCCGCTGAGGGGTCCGGCGACCGCCGCCTGGGGGTCGGCCGACCTCTGGCGACCACCGCCTGGGGGTCGCCCGACCTCAGGCGGTGCTCGGGTCGCGCAACCCGGATTTGGGTTGCGCGACCCGAGCACCGCCCGAGTCAGCGCCCAGCGGCGATCGCCGGGTCAGCGACCCCAGGCGCGGTCGCCGGAGGTCGCCCGACCCAGTGGCGATCGCCTGACCCCGGCGACCACCGCCTAGGTCGCCGCCTCGAGGCGGCACTCGGGTTGCGACCCGGATCACGGGTCGCGCGACCCGAGCGCCGCGTGAGCTCTGGGCGACCCAGGCGGCCGTCGCCGGGGTCGGGCGACCCCCAGGCGGTGGTCGCTGGAGGTCGGCCGACCTCAGGCGAGGCTAGTCGGCGGCCAGATCTGGCCGCCGGAGGTTGGCCGGCGGCCGTTTTGGCCTGCCGGACAGTCGCCGGCGGTGGCTGGTTCAGGCCAAAATTTTTTTTTTTTAAATATTAGCAAAAGTCCTTTACAAAATTAAGATTTTACCAAACGGTATTTAGACCAAAGTTGTTTTCAAATGTGATTTTAAAAGACACGTTACCAAACACTACTTGCATTTCGAAAAACCCTTTTAACTCAAAGGTATTTGCATTTTGCCAAATGCATTCCCCCAAAGCCGAACCAAATAGGCCCTAAGACACCCACCACAAAATCTCAATCAAAACGTGGATTTTTACACCGTGCTCCGTCAGCATAACCTCATGATTACATAGGCAGCGCACTAGGATCTGCCACGAGTCCAAAAGCTTCACTTCTGTTCGCTCTCAAAAACACTATTTGTCTGTTTGTGCTCTTTTTCTTTCTTTCTTTATCTTTTCTGTCACTCTCTTCTAACAGATGATTGATTGAAGACCTGATGAACCAATCACTGGAGATACCTAAAGGGAACAATTTTTACCCAAATCTAAACGCAACCAAGAACAAATACGATTTATAGTTGAGTTTCATGAATTATGGTAACCCAACTGAGCTTCATCAATCTTGAAGTTCATCCTTATTCGCTAGTTCATCAAGCAATGGCGTTTGGCCTTTTATGTCTATCTAGTGCTCAAGACCCCCTATTACTTCAGCAATTCACAAAAGAAACGGGAAATTCCCAATTTTAACACCATTTTCTATCATCGATCAGACTCAGAGTCACTAAGCTCTTCTCGTGCTGCTCTTTGGCTAATGTTTTCAAAGTTTAAGATAAACGAAGTTCAACCGCCCTGCCTCCTTCAACTATCACCTTGGTCTGCCATTGCTTAATTCCTTTCTCCTTTTTCTTTTTCCTTTTCCTAGTTCAAATTACTTTCGCCAGGAATTTTTAGGGGGTTTTTTCCTCTTGAAGTCTGCAGGTCTAGTTGTTCTTTTCGGCTCAAGATTTGTAGTGTTTGGTTAGAGGAGGAATTTTCATTTAGATCTGCAGTGTATCCTCCCACGAATGTAGTTTCAAAGTAGAAGCTTAAGATAAACGGAAGAAAAAGGCGAGAAGGGAGGTAAAAGAAAAGACAAAAGAAAGATGTAAACGGCGTTAGCCAGTGACTGAATAGGAACAAGGGGTAGCATTTGGATCACTGCTTTTGTATACCAGGGATTACACAGGCTAAGTACGTTATAATAATCCTTAAAACAAATACGTCAAACCTACTGCAAAATCAAGAACAAATCAATAGAATAATGAGGGGAAATACATGGAATTACCTCCAAAACCTATGCCCGAAGGAGAAGCTTGGCAACGTTCTTTACCCTTGCCCCTCTTTCCAGGTCGGCAATGGCATGTGTAGTTCCCAGGCGTATTCCTGCACTTTCCATGACATGGGTATTTTTGAGGTTCCTTGCACTCATCGATGTCTACATCACGCAAAAGATAAATGGAACCGTTATCTGGGTTAACGGCAAAAACAAATCGAACAAGTCAGTGCAGAAAATAATTAATCGAATAGTGCTTATTCCATTCTGGTTTCGATTATAGCACCATGACGGGTGTCCACTATCTCTTAAGATATCTCATCTCTTCTTTCTCTCCTCTTAGTTTCTCTCCGTGTTGAGTCCGAGTTCAACAATGGCCTTGTTCTTTGCCATCAACGGAGATCGATGCTGCCTTGAACTTTTGCAATGGTGCATGAATCCTATGTTGCAAGTGCAAGGCGATGTTTTGTTGTTGCCATATTAGATATGGTCGTTGAAGACGATGACTGAGCCTAGGAAGGAGGACATTGATCTTGACATGCATACATACACTTATTAATATGAGCCACTATTTTATGAGTGAGGTGGATGTACGAATATGCATATGTATCACTAAATACGATCGGGTCGTCAGATTTGTCCATTTAGATGCATTTTAGTATGCGTACCGTGTTCAATAAATACGTACAGGCCCCAAGGGGAAGGGGGACATTGATCTTGACATTGCAGCACGAGGGTAGAGTTGCTAGAAATGATGTTGACCATGATGTTGACAGGGTGGTGGCGACAACCTTGACTTATTTTGTTAGACAAAAAGTAGGAACCTCAAGACAAATAATTTCTCTCTATCTGAATTTATCTGGATTTGAGCAGATCCTTAAGGCTATGTTTGATTGTCAGGATAAAATTCAGGATATGATAAAATTTTGTGTTTGGTATCTACTTAAGATAGGATAAAATTGGATATAGGATGGATATGGCCCGGATAAAATTTTCTCATGGAGGAGGTGGGATAAAGATGAATAAAATTTCTAATATCCATAATATAAAAGTTATTTTTCTCGAATAACAAACTTGTTAAATTAATAAATTTAATTTTAATTTTAATATAAAAAATTCAAAATAAAAAATAACAATGATTTCATTTTTATTTATTCTTATTTTTATTTATATATTCAAATTTCTTTCTATCTTATGATATAAATTTCATATATATAAATAAGTACATTTAGTATTTATATTTATTATATATTTTAGGTATATTAGTATAGTTTACTCTTTAATAAAATTTTATTAGAGAATGATGATAGAAGGGAAAAAGAGAAATAAAAAAGAGAGGAAAAAATAATAAAAAATAAGCAAATAAAAATAAAGTATGTAAGAGTGTTGTGAAAGATTTTTATTATCTCCGTTTGCGTAATTTTTAGGTTTATTTACACTAACATGACGTTTATAGCAGATAATGGATATGGTAAGATGTGAAAATATTCGATTTTATTATTGTGATTCACCAAACAGTAAATAGGACATAATAAATCCATTAGATTTCATAGCCCATCCTATCTAGTCCTATTCTAACTAGAAATCAAAATCACTAAATGCAGCCTAAAAGACTCAAGGAGGGAGGGGGAAGAAACTCCCCGATATGGTGAAGGGATCTCTCCATAAATTCGATCGGATCTATCACAATTATTGATCATGTGATTTACGTAATCAAAGCCAGACATAGACCTAAGTCCTGACAAAATTCCTCGAACTTTATATAGACCTCTCATTAAAATTATACCAATGAGAAAACACACTTTTCTCTCCTTTCTCATTGTCACCGACGTCGCAGCCATCATGACCATGGCATTGCCATCCCCACCATCGATAAGCCACGACCTTGTCGTATCCTCATTGGGTCTCCTCCGTTAATGGAAATGACTAGCAAGCAAATCTCATTTCCTTCGTTGCGGACGAAATGGTACCAACGACTTGTCACCGTCTATGTTAAAATATTTAAATAATAAATTATATTTTTATTTAATAATTTAAATTTTTAGAATAGTTAGTTATGGTCCTATACAATCTCACATTATATAAAAGTGGGAAAGTGTTAAATATTTAAATAATAAATCTCGCTTTAATCTAATAACTTAAACTTTTAGAACAATTTGATTATGGTCCCACAAATTCTCTTAGCCTAGATGAGGTCCAAGCCAGACTTATGAAGGAAGAGTGATAGAAAGAGAGAGAGAGAGCCGTCATCTTTGTCAGTTTAGAGAGAGAGAGAGAGAGAGAGAGAGAGAGAGGTGGCTGTGATGGTCCGACGCCGTGTGAAGGCTGACGGCGGGCTCGCCTAAGGTGGTGGGCGGATGACGATGGCAGCGGCAATGGCGCGAGGTGCAAGCCGGAGAGTGGCCGAAGAGGTTGAGGAGAGAGAGAAATCAAATGGCGGCTAATTAAATAGATAAAACTAGATGGAATCAGTAGTATGTAGATACAATACTTCTCTATCATGGTGATTAATTAATTAATTAATTATCCACACAATTCATTCAGAGCGCGACAATTTATGAGTAGTCGTATGTGTTAAATTACCTTTACACCCTTCGAAGGGACTATAGGGATTCCCATAGTACCCAGGCTTGCAAACGCAACGGTACCCCGTTCCATTCCCGAAGTCCTTACAATCTGTGTTTTTACCACAGGCATAGCTCCGCTGCTTAGTGGCGTCTAGGCAATTCACGTCCGGTTCGACCATCCAGTCCAGAACGAGGTCCTCGCCCTTGCCCACGTCCTCGAACCGCGGGAGAGTCCGGCCCGAGACATTGAACGACCTGTTGTCCGCCACGAAGGCCAGTGCGCAGTAGTTGCTCCGCCAGGCCGACTCTTTCTGGTCGAGGGGGGAGATGCTAATGTTGAGCCACTGGAGCCCCTTTGGGATGGATGCTTGACAGCAACCTCGACCGGAGCAAGTGGTCTCCTTGGCCAAGTCGACGTTTTCGCTGCAGTAGGAGATGCACCCGCTCCCGAACTTCCCTTGCTTGTCGGTCACAGTCGTCATGGTGTCGCAGCCGAGGACGGTGAGCTTGTTCTGGGTGTCCGAAAATCTGTACCGAGGATTTGTAGATAGATCGATGATCAGAGGATTGCTATTGTTTGCCGGCTGGCCATTCTGATCGTAGCACTGGTATACTTCGGGGAGGCTGACGACCATGGTCGAGTCCCCGACCGAGATTTTGCGTATAGTAAGATTCCCCCACTGGAGTTGAATAACGCTCCCTTCGGTGTTGGTGCAATCGAGCAAAAAATCTGAGGACCTCGCACAATTGGTTTCGAGCCCGAACGGAAAAGGTACGGGCACGGCACCACACTGGTGTTCGCAGTTTCCGGGCACAGGGGGAGCGCCGCCTTGTCGCAACCACCAGGCTACGGCCACCATCAGAAGCCAATGCACTACCTTCATTTCGAAAAAACTCTCTCGAACTCAACTCTCACGTATTTTTTTTCCGTTTTGGGACCTTTGTTCTTCTGTCCTTGTTTACAGGGTGGGAGCCGTTCTCGCCCGCCCATTATATTCACATCGACGAATTGGTCAAATTAAGTACAATAATGGAGGGACGGAAGAAGGGCAAATCGTGTCAATAGAACAAATTGGAGGGACCCGATTGTATAGATCGAGAAATGCAAGACAGAATTAAAAAAAAAAAAACGATATACAAAGGTCCTACACATAAAGGGTAATGCGCCCTTAGTCCTTGTCCTACTGAAAAGGATGGTCACAGCATATGAAAATGAATACATGATTGTGATGTTGAGGCTACTTAGGAAACTTTGCTCCACCTGGTATCTAAGAAGAAACCGGCGTACATAGTATCGAGAGATTCTAAATGCGTAAAGAACTCCTACTAAAACTTTTTCACTAAGTGATGTGACAAGTTTTAATTGAGTGTTCAAATAAGCGACATCTATTATTTGAATGTCCGGCTTGTTAGAAGCCAAAAGGAAATTGCCACATTATATATTATAAAAATTCAGCCACAAGTTCCACCATAGAAGAATGGCCAATCGGCTTGAAAGGTTAATCAAACTCATGGCGACCCTAAAATGGCCCTAATGTTATGATGGGATTTAAACATTTTACTAGAGTTATGTTTAAGATGGTCTTACAATTCTAAACTCGTACAAAAGGAAAATAGCAAAGAAAATTTTTGTATAGTTCTTTTTTATGGCCATCAAGGGTATAAGATCGCACATAAAACAAATGTATACAAGACCAAAAACTCAAATAGAACTTTTGATCAATATTCACTTTACGGTTTCTCAGGACGTAAGATTTTAAGTTCAATCGGAAGATTGATAAAAGGATTTCTTTATGAATATAGCACTACTCTTATAGAAGTAGTAAAGACGAAGTAAAATGAACATTAGGAATTTTCACCATTTGGGATGAGGCTTACTTCCTAGTAATTTTAGAACTCTTGAGCCATACTAGTCACATGTTTGAAATTGCCCATATGCTTCTCGACCTCGGGAAATCTTAATACGTTTCTTGCGTAGGTTCAATTGTACCATGACATAGAATTATCCCGGTTGTACTCTCGCTATATATTGGTGAGCCGATGATAATGGGCTTACCCAAATTAGGAGTAGCTCAAACGGAACAAAACGATATGCGTGTGGAACTCTTATGGTAATTCTCTAAGGTAATCACCAATTGTGGTTGCCCTTTCCTCCCATTTTTACCTATCAAATTATATTATCATAGTAATGCTATTGTGATGTACAATAATAAATTTATTTGCATAATTAACCTTGCAAGATGAGAAATGCTATACCGGAAAAAATGTAGAGTAATTATAGGACATACAGTCGGCATAAACAAAATTTCGCACAAGTAGGCGCATACACCAGTGACTTGAAAGAGTGTATGGTTATCATCCTCAAATTAAGGATGAACGAGGCTGCTTATGTAAAACTTCATTTATACTGGTGGTGTATGATCTATTTTTCCAACAAAGATATAGTGAGGTATGCTTGCTAGATGATGTAGTATGTAATTGCTGGATAATTAAATGAAGGCACACTTTGTTGGGTTTCATGCTTTCAGTAATTAATTGACCACAAGAACGTATGATGCCACATTATTTTGTGATGTAATTTGTGATAAATAAATTGTTGACATATTTTTTAATGGCTTAGATTTTTTTTTTGAGTTTACCAGTCTCTCCAAACACAATGACTTGAATTTTGACACACCCTCTCAATTTTCTCGTCTGTTATTCCAATCTCAATTTTCTCTTGTCTGTTATTCCAATTTTCCTCGTATTCCGTCAATCTTTCTACTCATTAATTATCTAAGAAAATAATCACGTGTCAACCACCTATAAAATTGCTTGTATGGAGAAACTTTTGTAGTTGTGGTGTACACAGATGGAGAGAAGACGGCTTAGACATTGCCCTAAATAAACATATGAAATCTTACTAATGAGTTTTTAAGCGTAATGGTGAAGTATACTCTATGGAAAAGGATTTGATTTATAAATATTAATTACAGCTATTACCATAAAATTAAGTGTCTAAAATTATCAATATATATCTTTTTTTGTTTGATTACTTAATAAGTGTCATAAGAGTGACCCCTTCTTAACATGTGAAAGTTTATATAATTGTATCGCATGCTAATGTGATCTAAATCTCTTAGACTATTAGTAAATACTATGTGTAGTAATTAAGATCACTTACAAGAGAAAACCCATCTCAGGCAGTGAACAGAGCAACGATTTTATTTTAATTTTGATTGAATCATCTTAGATGAAACGGTAATTGACTTGCCATCACAACCCCGAAAACCTCGAGCCCAGTTCAAAATAAGATATTACTTTTTTTTTTTACCTCAATACAAATAATCCGGACTATATGACTTAAACAAATATGACAAATGCAAGCAATTCGTCTATTCACACGCATCTAGTAAAGTTATATTTATAGGGAAGCTGACGAGATTATTCCAAACGTGAAACGTTGCAACGGAATCTATCATTTGCAAATTAATCGTTTAATCATTCGGTCAATGATTCGAGGTTTTAAAACAAGACGATACCACCAGGATGGAAAGTTGTCCAACAAATTATTTTGGTCATCGAGTCCTCTTTCGGGCAGTCATTTTTTATATTATCCATTGCGCATCTCAATCGAGACCAAACTGAAGCAACGTGTTTCACGACGAGAGTGAAACATAGAAAGCCACCTTTGAGGAGACCTTTTCCTTTCCAGTTGGCCTGACCCTGCTGCACCCAAAACATCAACAACATGCTCCGCGTGTAGATGAGCTCGGTAGATCTCCAACGTCGATTTATGTGGGCTCCACGTGAGACTGACGCCATCTGACTGCTGATATTCATTGGGATTTTGTACATCCGGTTCATGCAAGTGTGGCCGAGATGCGCACTAAAGCCTCCGGGCCCGACGCCTGGTGAGAGCATGGTGCCTCGTACGGGAAACTTGTCACGGGGCACGAAGACTTATATTTTACAAGTCTTTCGAAGAACACGACAAAGGGCAATGTAAAGCATGACTTCATTATTATTGTGTCATAGGATCCAAAATAGCATCTCTCTTAACCTCTGACCACCTAATTTATGGGTGAGAAATTAAATGTTATTTCAATTTCGAGATAACTATGTTCTCTAGCAAAATTACTTACGAAACGCGTTTCTTTATCGACAAAGTTTTGTCATGCACCTAGGATGATGGATCAGATTCATCATAGGTGTTAATAATGTAGACTGCGCAAGTGAGTTCCGCATGATTAATGGCTGCAATTGTATTGGGTCGATGGACCAAGTAAGAGACCTTTTATTTACCGTAATTTTTTAGTTGGAAAATTGCCGAAATTTAAAAGTTATGAGGCAATGAACCTAGGAGTCACATCCTTTTGTATGCAATATTTCAAGGTTTAGTGATTAATATGGTTAGGACTGCTTGTAAGATGGAATACTCTCCCTTTTTCCAGGAATTTTCTTGTCAATATCATGGATCGGTCGCATACTGATATGATGTAACAAGTCAATCTCAAAATCCATGTCATATGAATTCTAGTCAACTTTGTGTTTGAGTTTTGAACGATTAATTCCACCTTGTAATGGAAAGGATTTGATTTGTAAATAGTAATTAAACATATAACAATAAAAATTAGTATTAAAAATTGTTAATATATATACTCTTTGGTTACTTAACAAGTATCATGAGGTGACACCTTCTTAATATCTAAAAATTCATATAGTTGTAGGGCATGACGGTGCAATCTAAACTTTCTAAACTATTAGTGGTACTATGTATGGTAATTAAGATTACTAATAGGAGAAGGCCCTACTTAACTACTTAGGTGAGGAATAGAATAACGGTTGTATTTTAATTTTGATTAATAAACTCATCTTATTTAAAAGGGTAATTCACTTGCTATCACAACCCAAAAAATCTTGACACCTAATCCAAAACAAGCTATTAGCTTATTATTATTTTTTTTTTTACATTTCAAAGTATTCAAACTATTCGACTTAAACAAATGTCATGAACGCAAGCAATTCGTATATTCACATGCATCTAGTATAGCTCCTCCATAGTGTGGTTGTCGAGACTTACTTTGAATGTGAGACGTTGTGACGAAATTCATCGCATACAAATTAAATGCTTAATCACTCAATCAATAATTCGAGATTATAAAACAAATTTGACTGAAAGTTATCACTAAATTTTTTTGATCATAGAGTCCTTTCGAGCAATGAGTTTTTCTATTAAATGCGATGTACGTTACGGCCCTCTCTCTTGACCAAACTAAAGTAACATGTGTCATGTGTTACACACAAAAATTATATATAGAAAAGTACCTTGGATTTTAGCGGGGGAGACCTTTACCTCTTTATGCTGGCTTCGGTCCCAGCTGACCTGGCCCTGGACCCAAGAAAAAAATAATAATAACATTCTCCGCACGTAAATGAGCCTAGCCAATCATCGACGTTGATTTACGTGAGCCCCATACAAGACCGACCTCATTTAACGGTTGAAATTCACCGGGATCTTGCGCACCCAGTTCATGCAAGTGCGGTTGGATCCGCACTAAAACCCACCGGGCCCGATGCCTGGCGACGGCGACATGAGAACTTTCTCCGGTGCAAGAAGACTTACAAGTCGTCTCGAAGTCTTCTAAGAACAAAGACAAACATGCCAGAGAAAAAAGCCGATGTCGTGGGGTTCGGTGTTATCCATCCGGAGGATGACCTTTCTCAATGACGACACGTGGGGTACACGAGATGGTCGTCAGTCGACCATTCTTTATTGCCATGGACGACCAGGAGGAGCACAGGGTTTCCACAGACTCTGTTTCTCAGTCCTCCTCAACTTAAACATAGGGGATTCTGCTGGTGATCTCTCGTTCTCCGAGCAAGATGATGAATTATAATAGCAGCGGAACCCAAAAGAAGATACTGATGTTTTTCGCAATTCCGCGGATTTGCATTCCGATTTTAGATTTTAGTATTTTCATTTCAATGAGGTCCTAA